GGAAACGTCTCCTTCACTGCGTTGCAAACTTCTGACTGAAATTATAATACCCTGCAAGGGTATAATAAAATTGAACTAAAATTGTGTGTGTTCTTTTTTTTTAAATATTTTTTTATATAATTTTCTTTGCAATCCTTTTAAATTTGAAGCCTTCTTTAATGCCACCTCTAAGTGCTGGCCCCCTCTTTTCGCCACCTCTTTCGGGAAAATGTTCCGCGGAAAGGCGCCTGGTGCGCTTTTCCTCCTTTTGCAGCAGGACCTCTGGTTTTGGCTTGCGGTCAGCTGTTGGTCAGCAAACAAGCGTGAAATTGCACAAAAGCCGTGACGAGTTCTAAGCCACCGGAAAGGGAACCAGCCAGAAAAAAAAAGAAAATGGTGAAAAAATCCTAGTAGAAAGCCACACAAACATAGGGACAAAAGGCAATCAGACTTGCGGCCTACGAATGTGTTCGGCTTTTCCTTTGCTACCCACTCTCGTTTTTCATGTATACGCTTTTCCCTTTTCATTTTCCCCTGCAGTTTTTCCGCACGTCTGCAGCCGCAAAATATGCAGGGAATTTTTTGTCGCATTCTGTGTTCGTACTATAAAAGTAGTATGTGTAGTAAAAAGTGAATTAATTAAATGAGAGGTGTTTGAGAGCTACTACCCTTTGGCCTTTATCCTTTATCCTTTTGGCCTTTATCCTTTTAGCCTTCATCCAATGGTTGTAATTCAAAATAAATCTGGTGTGGTATGCTTTTGAGATTTTTAAGTTGAAAAAGATTATGGGGAAATATCAACAATAGTAGTTGTGGTTTTATTTTAAAGGAAAATTGGGAATAGAATATATAAATAAAAATAGAGATTATACCTTGTTTCTTTAAAGTTTGTGAGGCTTTTAAAGGTTTATTTTTATTACATTTTAAATATAGATATTTTCTTAATATTATTTAGAAATAAATTACTATAAATAGAACCCCCAAAGTAAGCTTTATCCTTCGATACCTTAATGTACTTTAAGGCATCCTTTTCCTCCATAAAAAATCCCCATTTCATTCCACATTCATTCCCAATTAATCCCACTTTGATGATCTTTGACTTTGGGAATGCAGTGTTTAGATCCAAGTTGATTTGGACCAAGGGTTAGCGAGGCCCGGGGATTTTTATGGGCTGCTAATTAAATGCATACAATTAAGCTGCTACACGCTAATGATTCAATTATCTTTATTACTGCCCCGACCGACATGCACTCGCTGCTGCGATGCAATCACGCAATCCTGAATATGTGGAGCTGTGGAGCGGGGGCTTCGCTGGTTGCTTTTAATTAAAACCGAATCGATGCGAATCGATGGGCTGTCGTGGCACGTTTTAAATTTAGCATTGAGCTACGTCCTGCGTGTCCTTGCCGTGTCCTGCCACTCACTTCATTAAAGAGTGTAAAAATGGGAATTTATTTTGCATTTGCCAGCGGGCAGGGCAAACCATTGCACATCGGCATCGAAACGTGCCCCGGCCCTGGCTCACCAAATGGAATTTGAAGTGCTGTTGAGTGAAGGAAAAAAAGGGGTTTCCTGGGGGGAGGGGGGGAGGCGTTTTTCATGGGTTTTCCGGTACAGTTTGTTTATGGCTGCGCCCCAGCAGCTGTGGCACTAAAATGGATTGAGCAGAGAGAGCGGCTCATCCTGGCAGAAATGGGTCAATCAACTTGGCGAAACTGTTAAGGGATCAATGGAATACGATCTGAGGGAGTTAAGCAGTCAAGTGCCATCAAGTCCAAGAAAGGCTAAAGAGCTCTACACCTTTATATCATTTGCTTTTTGCTTAAAGAAACTAAGTTTGGTGCTTGAAAGTTAAAAGAAACAAAGATAAATTTGGTAAAAAAATATTTAAAAAATATAATAAGATAAAATAAGTATTGTAAGAGAGAGTATGTGTTTTTAAGAATTTTAGAAATATTTTTTTTACCTTATAAAAAGGCTTATATATTTCTCATAATAAGGAATTAATCCTTGAACAGCCTTAAAGCGGTGATTTTTATAAAATTTTTAATTTTTTGTATATATAATTTATATATTATTATATTTATATTTATTTAACTTATATATCTTTTTTTATATATTTTTTTACTTATTTATTATTTGTTTATTTCCCTTTTAAACTATTTATTCCACTTTATAAAAAGAAACTCCTTATTTTGCACTTAATAAATTTGTATTGCCGACTTTTAGGCTCTTTTATAAAAACTTTCAAACCGCCAGATACCTTATGCAGCCTGGTATCCTGCTTGCAAAAAAATCTCAAACAAATCAAAACAACAAAGAAAATAAATAAATTCCATATCAAAAAGTACAACAAAGTTTTTGTGGCCTGTAATTCATCAATCAATTGCAATTGGACTACCAATCCCTTGATGCCCAGCACAATCATCATGTCCTGCTTAAAGAAATTACTTTCACGCTTTTGCTTCTCGCCTTAAGCTCCCCTCCCCCCAACTGACAATCAACATTTTTCGAGTTCAATCAATGCATCCGCTTATTTAGCTGCCACTTCCAGGGGCAGGCCAAGCCACTTGCCATTTGCCACTTGCCACGCCTCCTCCTCGAAGGATTCTCCATTTTACCCCGGTAGGAATTTATTTCATTTCTATTCCATGCAATTTTTATGCATTTTTCTATTTATAAAATTGCTGCTAGCACCGAGACTCCTGGTCTTGGGCTGAGCGCACACACAAAATAATAAAAATGCCAAGAAAAACGTGCAAAAGGGAAAATAAGGGAAGATGAACATAAAATGCAAGCGACGTCATTTCGCAGGTTCCCAGCAAGGAGAAGGGTTTTCTTTCTTTCTTGTATTTTTTTTTCTTATTTTTTCCTCGATGCCTTTTTGTTGTTTTCCTTGCAGAGAGAGAAAAAATGTAATTGAAATGGTAAAAAAGTTGAACAAAATGATAATGAAAAGAGGATACCTTAACTTTAAAAAGTTTTTAATATTTCAAAATAAAAATATTTTAATTATTTAGTTTATTATTTATTTATTTATTTAATAATTTTTTCGTTTACTTCATTATTTTTATTAAATTACTTTAAATATTCTTTATTACAATCTAAGAAAAATAAATCATAAATTTAACAAAAATCCTCTTTAGTAACCTTACCCTACAGAAAAATTTTCCCGAATTTTTTTTGCCACTGTCTGCATTTTTCCTGAACGCTATGCAGTGTGAAAATGCAGCGTGAAAACCGAACCGAAACGGAATGGAGCTCGAAAGCTGGGCGGAAAATGGTTGGGCGGCGGGGCGTGTAAGTGTTGGTAAACGTGGTGCAAAATACCGTTACTGCCACTGTTCCCCATTTGCTATTTTTTTTTCTTTTCGCCCAAAGCGATTGTTGTTGTTGTTATTGTTGAAGTTGTTGTTCTAGGGTTGTTGTTATTGTTGTGGTGTTGTTGTTGTTGGTGTTGTGACGGTGGTGTTCTTGCGCTGTTGTTGTGGTGTTGTTGTTGTATTTGGGTCACCAATGCAGTTGTCGCTTTTCCCCTCCCCATTTTTCCGCTTTTTCTCCTCCACACTCGTTGTTACTTTGCTGTTGTTGCTTGTTTAACAAGTTCGAGTGCATCGCATTTGTGAAAATTTAAAAAAGCATCTAAAAAGTTCCCCTAGTGTGTGTTGTGTGTGTGTGTGCCGCAAAAATAAAACAAAATTACAACAAAAACGCAAAAAAAAGCAAAATAGAAGCGAACTTTTTGAGGCTCTGTTGCTGACACCAAAAATGCACAAAAGCAGCAGCGAAACGAGCTAAGGAGTCCTGAGATCCTTTGGGAATTAAGGGAAACGATAGCTTAATATCCTGGAAGTAAATATATTAAAGAGATTTCTGATGTTTATTTAGGGATTGAAGAATTTTAAGGAATATTTTACAAGATTTAAAGCTGGGAAATTGTTTATTACAGCTATAGTTCTATATTTTATATAGAAATATGGGGGAAAAAAATATTAAAAATGTATATTTGGAATTTTTCAATAATTTCTGTCTTGTAATAATTATAAAAATAATAATAAATAAAAGAATTTAAGTAGATTAAATATTACCAAATTTATTTAAAATATTACTAGGCCTTTGTAACCTCAAAAAAACTAAAAAATATATTTAAAATGATATACTAAAACCCAGTTCAAAAATCCCTGCCAACCCATCACACCCTTAAAATCGCTGTTGTTGTACCCCTCTTAAAAAAAAGTTTGCTTAACAATGTGTAAAAGGGTTTCTGGAGCGCAGGGAATGCGGAAAGGACGCTGCTGCTGCAGTCACAGGAGTCGAGTGAAAACAAAACGAACAGCAAACATATTTGACATTTGCATACGAAAAGTGTCAAAAGAAGCAAGAAGCTATATAAACTAAACCCATACACACACAAAGCACACACTGGAGAAGCCACCGCAAGGCACTTAGAGAAAAATCGCTGGGGGAATTGAAGTTGAGAATTTTAAAATTTAATTTAAAGTAACAACATTTGTGCATTTATCATTTAGAGAGAAGAGGCTACAAATTGTATTCGTAAAAAAATTAAAAGTACTTTCTTAGAAAATTATGTGTTGGATAAAAACAAACCTTGCTGGTTGGGAATTATAAGAAGTTTTAATGAAAGATTTTAAAGTTCCCATTTTTGTAAGCTAACTAATTATATATTTAAAAAATATGATATGATTTATTAATATTTAAATATATGAAACCCACACCAAACGTATCTTTAAGTTCTCTGAATTTTTAGTTGAGAATTATAAGATAAAGTATTTAATAAAAAATAAAGAATTACTCAGGCATTTAAAATAAAATTGTATCACATTTTCAATAAGGAATTTAAGCAATTTAAGTTCTTCAATGTTAAGATTTATTAAATTTAAGTTAAAATTTAAAAACTTACCAATCTTTTCTCTCACTGTACATACTCGTTTATGCCACTTCCGTGACGCCTTTCTTATCTCTGTCAACCTCTCGCTCTGCTTCCGTCTCTTCCTGCACAGGAACGCTACAAGGCTGACATTAGCCTGGCCATCCAATTGCTGCAGTGCAAGCCGGATAGTTTTGTGCCCCAGAAAGTGTCCTCGGTGGGTATCACTTCCATCCATCCATCTATAATGTAATGCAACCTCCCCCGAAAATAATGGCATTCTTTCCCTTTTGCAGCTACCCATTGATATTCAGTCGAAGGTGTCGGCGTACATGCGATTGGAGACAAACTCCCATTCCGATTCCGAGTGCAGCAATAGCGGTGTGGGTGTTGCCACCACAGCTTCCTATAAAGTGCTTCCGGCCTCAGATTCGCCGCCACCCTCAGCCTGTCCCTTTCCGCCCACGGCGATGGTGTATTCGATGAGGGGACTCGGTAGGTGTTAGTAGACCATGCTTGAAATTTTATGATTTTTTATGTTATTTATTACTTGATTTTGTTACTTGAATTTTTAGTGGATTTTTTATGTGATTTTTTAAGTGATTTATTACTTGATTTTTCCTAAAGTTTGTTGCTTTTTCTACTTGCTAAATTTTTATTTGGTTATTAATACTCTTGAAGAGGGAGAGAAAGTGTTATAAGAAATTATATAAAAAATAATAGACATCTCTATTTGTTCTTTAACTTATTTTGTTATTTTAAAGATATATAGGAGCCTGATCTTCAGGATTAAAAAAAAAGTTCTAGAACCAATAACCTAATAAAAATTAACAAATTAAGATTTCAAATTCAAAAATAATATTTATGAAAAAGAATAACTCTTCAATATACTTTTCAAAAAAATCATATAAATCTCCACTAAAAACCAAACCTTTTTCAAGGGTATTCTGTGTTTCGTTTCCCCGAAAATATATTTTTTATTCCCTCCTTTTTTCGTTACTCCCAGGACTTACTCGATTTACATGATTTCCTCATGATTTCTTTTATTTGATTTATTGATTCGCACATTTTCTAGGCTCTGGATTGAATCGCGCGAAGGATGCGAATGAACAATTTGATTTCTGCCTCATAATTGCATTCCATTCCACATCATCGTGTCCTGTATGGGGCATTCATTATAATGCCTCTTCATTTGCATTAATTGCCTGCAATTTTATATATTTAATTTTGTATTTATTATGGCCATTGTTTTCGCCTTTATTGTTTTTCAGTTATTGTTATTGTTGTTTCTGGCATAATTGCAATTTGAAACTTTTGCAAAATAACTTGTGTGCAACCACCGGTTTTTACTTTACTTTATTTTTCTGGTTGGTTTTTGGCCTCGGAAAATATTTACATGTTTGTGTGGCGTAAATATGATTGCGCCTCAAAATATAAAAACTTTTTTTGTGTGTGTGGATCAATTTGAACAATTTTTGCTAGTTTTAATATATGCATATTTTCGGCCAGAATATGCTTTTGTTGCACAGAATTTGAGAGAGCCACAAAATGGCATAGTTAAAAAGGGCTAACAAAAGTTTTTATTGAGACTAATATGCATTTAATTTTCTTTTACAAACAGTTTTTTTTGACTGGGTCTTTTGTCGAGAAATACTTTGAATATAAATAAAGTTATTGTTTAGAAGGGAAAATAAAGAAATGAATATATTTTTGTTAAGCATAAAGAAAATGAATATTTCATAAATTCTAGATTTATTTCTCTTGAATAGAAGCTCTTAAAAAATTAAATTAAGTTTGCTTTATACAAGAAAGGGTTATTCTTTCGTCAAAAGCTTTGAAATAATTTTAATTTATTTAGTTAAAAATTTAAATAAATTAATTTTCTAGAAATACATTTAATTTATGGCCTTTTAATTTCAGAAAAATAAATTGAACAAAGTTTTTGGCAAAGAAAAATTTTAAAAAAATACTTGAGATATTAAAAAATTTACGAAAAATATTTTAGATATAAACTAAATATAAATAAAGATTTTTGTATTATTAAATAATGTCTTAAATTTATTTTAAATACCATTTTCATAATTTATTTAATATTATAATGCCTTTATTTTATATTCTTAAATTTTTAAACAATTATTTTTATTTAATTCAATATTAAAACAAGCAAAAATGGTTAAAAATGCTCTTCAAAAATATTAAAAACATTAAAAAATAATAAATAAAATCTTTACTAATTAAAAAATATTTTCCATCAACCCAATTTAGATGCGGCCAATGGAAATGCGGTCAATAATACCCCAACAGCCCCGAATCAGCCCACAAATAACAATCTAAAGGACACCAAGGACTCCATAAATAACAACAATCACAACAATAATAACAACACAACAACAACAGCAACAACCACGGGCAGCAACAAGTGCAACAATCAAACAACAACAACAGCAACCAGCAACAACAACAACAACAGTAGTAACACCAATCCAGATATGATTTCGCCCACAATTATGGCCAAGTTCCTGGAGGATGAGCTAAAGGCAAACGAGGTAAAACACTGCGACACCTGCCAGTGCAGCAAACAGGATCTGCAGGTCCTGGCAGATGTGTCGCGTTCCTATACAGTGGCCACCCAGACACCGCATCAGTTCCATCATCAGCTTGTCCAGGGTTCCTCCACCGGCCTGACCGAACCGCTGACCCAACTATGCCTGCGGTGCCACAGCAATCTCAACTCGCCCTCGAGGACCAACAGTCCCTATCTGATGAAGCTGGTCAAGTCCAGCGATTCGGTTATATCAGAGACCAAGAGTTCCGTTTCGGATCTCAATGACATGGACAAGCTCTTTACGCCGGCCAAAAAGGATGACCTGATGGTGAATCCCATTCTAGGACATCATCGTCTGTGCGAGAGAACAGCAATTCCTGGCGGTCAGAGTCAGGATTATGTGAATGGTAAGCTCACAACCTCCACAATGATGTATCCCACCACCCATTTGGGTGCCTATGCCGCTGAGAAATATCTCCTGGAGACGAGTAATCTTGGCCAGCTGAGGAGCAACTATCAGCGAAGGTTCCTGGATGGCGGTGGCACAGCCCTGCAGTTGCTGAATAAATATGAAGTCGGAGCAGGAGCTACCACAACCACGGATGAGCTGGAGGATGAGGCCAGCAAGCCACTGCTGGCGGGGATTTCTCAGGTGAATCTCTCGGAGGTGGAGCAGCCTTTGCCACCGGCGCCACCGCAGCCGCAGACAGCTGCCAAACTGGAAGATGTGTGTGAGCCAACGCCGGTGAGTAAGCCTGTGGCTCCGGTGGCTCCACCAGGACCACCTACAGTTGCTGCTGCTGCTCCGCCTAGTGCTCCATGTGCTCCTGGTGCTCCTCCAGCAGCAGCCCAGCTCAAGTCCACCAACTCGGGCAGCGTCCAGAGCCTGTGGAGCAACAAGACCAGCAGCTGCGAGGGGGCCAAGATGTTTGAGACCTTCAACAGGAATCTCATCAAGACAATCAAGGTGAGATTCGGTATAGACAATTTAAGGAGCTTTATTAATCCTTCCTTCTTCATTTCTAGGCGGAAAACCCCAAATACCGAGGACCACGACTGTGTGCCATGAGGATCCAGCAGAATGGCCAGAGCAACATACTCCTAGACAACCTGGAGTCCATTGAGACCTACACCCCAGTGATTTACAAGCGGCGTGAAAAACTCCTAGACGAAGAGCTCAACGATGGCAAGGACATCATAACCAGCAAGGAGAGCAATGCCCAAGCAGCTGTTGAAGCCTGGCAAGGACCAGCAGTTCCCCACGAGAATGTGGCCCTACAACCTGTCCTAGAACCCCAGGTGGAGTCTCCCGAGGCGGAAAATGAAGAAATCAAGGCTGGTGGGGAGCCTCCTGCTGCAGTGAATTCATCCAAACATTCCGCCAACTCCAGTTCCATAAGCGATGCCATTGACTACCAGGAGAGTGTACTTTTGCGGCGACAGCAGCTTAGCCGGGTGGCCGAATGGGTGCAGCACAATACCCAGCAGTTGGAGCAGCGAAATCTCCAACAGCCAGCGGCGGCCACAAGTGATTCCAATTCGGGCACCGAAAGGCAATCCTCTTACTCCACCCTCGATCGCATGGACTCCATATCCATAGAGAAACTGTCCATGGATTCGGGCTATAAGACCACGCCGCAGCAGCTTACCAATGGCTATCCGGAAAAGTCCACGGAGGACTCACTGTCGCCCAAGACGGATATCACCAGTAATTCCCTGCAGCAGGAGACCACTGTGCCGCCGCCACCGCCGCCGCAGCAGATGTTGTTGTCGTCGTCCAAGAAAACGGAAATGTGCACTACTTATTACAGGAGAACCACCAGATCGGGTTTGCCAGTGGCTTACACCACCACCACGGCGGCAGCAGCTGGAGTTGGTGTAACCCTAGAGGAGTCCACCTCCTCCGGTTCAGAAGCTTTGATCTGCCCCGAACAGCCCACGTGTGATATACTCAACTACAAATACTATCCCAATGACACGGACAAGACGCGGTCCGTCCAGGCTGAGCTGCACACGACCACCCAGAATGTGGACATTGCCCAGATGGAGTACAATGTAAAGCAGTTTCTGCTCAAGCAGAACGAGTGGTCCATGAACGGGGGAGCGGCTGGAGCTGGAGCTGGTTCTGCTTCTGGTGGAGGAGCCATGTCTGGAATGGGTGCCCGGCTAATGCAGCGTCGCATCCTGGGTCCCGGTGTTGGAGAACGTGTACGCATGGCCACGCCCGGCGGAGCGGTGGCCAGTCAATCCTCCTCCGGCATCCTGCCACCCCACAGAACTGAAACGAATTTATAAGCAAACGGGGTCAAGGGACACACGGAATCCTATCGGGATTTCGAAGCGAAGAGTAAACCAATCTGTATTCTAGTCTAGTTTTGCTACTTTAAGTTCATACTAAGCACGGGCTTAAAATATATATATATAAATATATATATGTATATTGCTCTATATATATAAATATGAGATGTATGTTTGGGCTAAGCAATGCTTTAGTTATAAACTTAATGTGGGTGGTGAGGGGTTCTCGGCAGATGCTAACACAGCAATAGCAATAATACTATACATATGTACGATAAATGTAGTACTTACACCAAAATCTACGATCTAAGCTAGCTAAAGTTGCTTTGGAGCTATATAACTAAGCTGATAATTAAGATTAAGACGGGGATATATGTTAAATAAGTGGCCTTGGTTGATTCTTAGTTGAATAGAAAACTTATTTATGTTAATAACTATTATTACAATTATATTTTCTATGATTAACCATAAAATTTCCCTAAATTTCCCTATCAGTCTTCCCTTAGCCACTAATTTCCCTCTTCATCTCCCATATAATTTCTTAAATTTCCCACTCAGTCATCCCTTAGCCACTAATTTTCCCTATGCATTGAGTTTCTTTATATAAAATAGAAACCTTATATTATTATAAAGAAATTTCCTATGATTTACCATATAATTTCCTTACATTTTGTTAATAACTATTATACTAATTATATTTCCTATGATTTACCAAGTAATTTCCTAAAATTTCCCCATCAGTAGATAGGGATAGTCTTCCCTTAGCCACTAATTTCCCTTTCCAATTTTATTTCCTAATCCCCAAAAAGTCTTCCTAAATATCCCCCTTAATATACCACTCAAACCAAGGCCACCTAAACCTTATCCCCGTAGCAATTGCAGCTAAAACCAAAAGCAAATCTAAGACATATGATACGGTTACTCCCTACGATATAACCCATATACATCTATATATATATATATATAACTTTTTGATGTCTGCATGTTAATATAACCCACAAGCCATTCGAGAACTTTACCCGAAGCAAGCTTAGGTTACAACAGAAAAATATATACATAAATTATATTTATAGGAATATACAGATAATTATGCTATATATACGATTGATATTTGATAAGCGCGTTATATTTTCTAGATTCCGATTGTGCAATATTTTTTAGTAGCCTGAAAAAAAGCCAAAAAAAAAAAAAAAAGCGAAATGAAAACGAATTTTTATTTTTATAAAATGCGACCAAAAACCAAAATGGGGGAAGAAACTTAAACCCTATTTCTGATTTTCTATTTCATATTTTTTGCTATTTGCAAATTCTATTGAGCATTTTGTCCAGCTTAGACCCAATCGATCAAGATATACACACACAAACACACACACACACAAGTACTGTACCTTCTTAGTGACAAAGGATTTTTGCCGGAGAATAAAAAAACGATAAGAAACTGTACTCATTCCTGCCCATTAGATGACCTTCATATACTAGAGAACTGTAACCCTCTGCTATATAACTGCTAAATAACAAAAAGATATATACATAAATGCCATGCTATATACACCACAGACACAGACACTTGCATTATAAACGTATCTGAACAGACATATGATTGTAATACCCACATATATATATTTACATCTATATATACATAAAGCGTACTTATATTATAAATCAAAAAAATCGAAATCAAAATCGTGTATTCGCCCTATATACGTGTATATCCAACCCACAAGAACCCACAACATTCAACGGCTTCAGAAAAAACACCAAAACCAAATCAAATACCAAATACTTTTCTATGTAATCCCCTCACACATCAATCAAAATTATCATGATAACATGAGGAATATTTACTCGATATTTACACACCTAATACACGGCTGCTATATTTCTATATCTATAAAGGGGGAAGCCTCTTAAAAAACCCTTAGAGATTTGAAATTACTTTTAAAAGAGGCCCAAAAGTAGGCGATGATCTTTGTTAAATAAGTCAAAGCATACTTTTGGGCGTTATTTAAAGAGATTTCAAATCTCTGAAGTTTTTTTTCTTGCCTTTAACCCCTCGTTTATCTATATCTCGATTACTTTACCATGTATACACTGAGCGAAATGCTAAAACGGAAATGCTTTAAGACACTGTTATGTTTGGCCTACTTATATAAACATTTAATTAGCATAAATTCAACTCGTATAAAAGAATGGAACCTCTGCCTGTTATGCACTTTATCCTATAAAAATGATATTATATTATGGAAAAGAAAAACAAAATCAAAAAACTTAAAGAAAAGCTCTTATTAAGTTCATGTACCAATCTCAAAGAAGACTTAACTCGACTAAGTAACTAAATCATTTCCGATAATCACTCTCACACACTCCAAACTTTGCTCCCTCACCTGTAACTCAGTGCTCAACGAAACAGTTTTCCATTATCCTAAAAAGTATATATCAAAAAAATCTCACAGCAAAAGCTATCCCTTAAAAACAATAGAACACTGCCCTCCCCCAAGTTCACACACTGCCCCGAAAATCAAACCCCCTTCCCCTCTAACTTTAAGTAGCAACATTCTCCAAGCTCAAAAAAGTCACAAAAAAATATATAAAACAGCTTAATAATGAAAACCTAAAATCCCTTAGCTAAAACGGAACTAATATATATAAAATGCAAAAACAACAAAACAAAAAATTGAAATGCAATTTCAGCAAAAAAAATTTATATATATGGATGACGAAAAACTAGCTTAAATATTTTGGGCATAAGTTCAAACTCCAGCTGCGACATCTAGTTTAAATTGGAAGCCTTCGTTCTATCGCCTGGGTTCGAGACATATACTTCAGATACTTAGCCTTATAATGAATGTGTACATTTTATGCGCGTCTCGGTTGATGTCAACATTTTTGAGCTATTGAACCACCTTAATGTGAAACAAAAATAAAATTAAAAATAAAAATAAAAACAAAAACAAAAAAGCAAAATAAAAACAAAAAATAAAAAACATCAAAGTAATAAATCAAGAAAAAACAAATGGAAATAATTCAAATAAATATGAGATAATTTTTGAATAAACTTTTATGGTGGTTTTAATGGAAAAGGGGAAAGTTTTTATACGTTTTTTGAGGCAATGAAATTTATTTTACAATTTAAATTTAGAGAAATTCTCAGATAATTTTAGGGAAATTCTCAAAGATAACATTAGGGAAATTCTCAAAGATCATTTTAGGGGAATTCTCATAGATAATTTTAGGAAAAATTCTCAAAGATAATTTTAGGGAAATGATTAAAGATAATTTTAGGAAAGTTCTCAAAGGTAATTTTAGGGAAATTCTCAAAGATAATTTTAGGGAAAGTCTGAAAGATAATTTTAGGGAAATTCTTAAAGATAATTTTAGGTAAATTCTCAAGGATAATTTAAGGGAAATTCTCAAAGATAACTTTAGGTAAATTCTTTAAGAAGTTATTTTACAATTTATTTTTAGGGAAATTTCTTTTTCGAATTTTTTTTGTATTTTTTAAAAAGGTTTTATTGTTCTTAATTTTAAACAAAATAAATTACAAGGGTATATATTGAATTGTTTTAATTTGTTGTACTTTAAAATATATTTTTCTATCTTTTGTTCTTTAATTACCTGTTAAAAATCAATTTAAATATTTCAGTTTCCCAAAAACTATGCCTCCAAAAACCCCTTCCCCCAATAAAACTTTCTCTTATATCTTTATTAGTTACTTGTTTTTATTTTATTTTATGATATTTATTTTCTCATTTTATAGATAAATTCCTGGGCTGAGAGTATGAAATAAATAATTGGTTGCGTGGTGCATGCACTTAGAAAACTAAAGAAGCCTTTTTCCAAAGCATTCTCTGATTCTGGAATCGAAAAATAGCATAGAAAATGGCATCAGTCGGTTGATAATGGATGAGTGGATGGAGTGGCGTCCAGTGTCCCCCTCAAAGGGCCACGGCATCGACGGGCTGCTGCTGAACCTGGACAGGATCGCTAACCTCGCTGGCATCGTCATTGACCACAATGACCTCATTGGTGGGCACGGCGGCCTCCTCGAAGGAATCATCGATGGACTCGCCACTGGCGCGTACCCCGTTCTCGGACTCGGGGACAAATTCGGCCACCTCATCCTGGGCAGGATCGATTTTGTCATCAACGGTGGGCTGTTTGGCCGGAGCCTCAGTTACGGGAGCAGCAGCCGGAGCATTCTGTGGTCGATTTCCGCCCAGGAAATTGATGATACCCTGGAGGGGATTGCCACCACCCTGCTGCTGTTGAGCTGGAGCCGCCGCTGTGGCATTGTTATTGCCACCGAAAACATTATTCACAAACTGCTGGATGGGACCTGGCGGACGTGGCGTGGTGGAAACAGCCGGCTGGGAATTGGTCAGACCCGAGAGTGTGTTCTGGAATTGGTTACCCAAATTGCTGGCAAACTGCTGAATGCCCTGAAAGGCCTGTGTGGTGGAGTTGACCACCGATTGGGCGGCATTCTGCACCACCTGGGTGGCCTGTGTAAATGCGGCCTGGGGATTCAGGAAGCCAGGTACTGTGGGCGCCGGCGTGGCCTGAGCGGCGGCGGCGGCGGCATCATCGGATTGGACAGGAGCTGCAGCGGCAGCTGGCTGCTGCTGTTGCGGCTGGAACTGATTCAGGAACTGGCCAATGGGTGAATTCTGGATCAATTGCTGGACAAAGTTTCCTTGAGTGGTGCTCTGCTGGGTGGGCGTGGCCTGGGTGGCCTGACGGACCTGGGGATGGGCGGGATCCTCTTGGTTTTCGGACGGATCTTGCTCCAAGGGGGAGAGTTCTTCGGCAGCGGCGGGCACGGGAGCTGATTCTTCGGCTGAGAGAGTTTTTAAATTAATGGCAGCTGGCTGGGCTTCCTCGGGGATGAGTTCTAGAAGAGCTGGGGTCTCCTCTTTGATTTCCTGAGGCTTCTCTTTGAGGTCTTGAATTTCCTCGGGGGTTTCCTTGAGTTCCTTGGCCTTTTCCTTGATTTCCTCTTTGATTTGTTCTTTGATTTCCTGGATTTGCTCCTGGATTTGCTCCTTGATTTCGGGTTTAATTTCTTCCTTAATTTCAGGCTTAATTTCTGGCTTTAATTCCTCCTTGATTTCAGGCTTAATTTCGGGCTTAATTTCCTCTTTGATTTCTGGCTTAATTTCTGGTTTAATTTCTTCCTTAATCTCCAGTTTTTCTTCTTTAATTTCAGGCTTAGTTTCCTCCTTGATTATGGCTATATTCTCCTCTAGCCTGGGTTTAATCTCCTCCTTAACCAAAGGTAAAGCCACTGGAGCTGGCTGCTGCTTCTCCTCCACAACGGTCACAGGAATATCCTGAGGCAACTGCACCACTCTAGCTTGGCTTACAGCCAGGAACAACAGGATCAAAGCAACTGGCTTCATTATAACCACACTTTCACGTTTTAAATATAATTTTAAATTTAATAAAAATATTTATTTTTTCGTTTACAAAATGCCTTCGTTCACAAGCGCCTCACGGCCGCAACTGTTTGAAATTTCTTTAGGCCCAACGCATTTTATACAAACCGTCAGAGCCGCCGAAGCCGACGCTGGCAGAGCGTCGACGCCGAAGACAAACAGGGCTAAGAAAAAAAAAAGAAGAGATGGAGAAGGCAGTTGGTGGGAGAGTTGGTAGTGGAAATATCAGCAATATCAAAGCCACTCCACATCCTCCTGCTGGCCAATTCTTGGCGGCGAGTGTCATTGAACTGATATACTGGTACTGGTCCAGGCCATCGAAAAGGGTTTCTTGTTGGCCTCTTAAGGCTTTGCCAGATCGCAGCTAAAGAAGCTGCACACACATAATTGGCCAAGTCGTGGCCTGGCATCCTCCTTCATCAATCATGTTTGTTTTAAAGACTTTACGGCAATCAATATTTGGTTTGTTCAAGGATGATTGCAATATGGCAAAAAGGGGATCAAGGAGGTAGTTTACCAAGGGTTCTTACAACGCGGGAATAGGATGAGGATTTAGAATAAAAATATATGTATATTTCCCAGGGATTAACTGCTTATTTTACATATTTTCTTGGCTTAAGATTACAGTAAGGGAAATGTTAAATAATCCCTGGAAAAACTGAGACTGAAAATGGAAACTTAGAAAAAGGATAAAAAAAATATTTAAAAATATACATTCTATTTGGGAAAATCATATATTTTCTTTAAGGAATTAAAAAAAATACAAATAATATTTTGACTAGCAAAATATATATCTGGAAAGTGGTAAAATATAATTAAAAATTTATTAAATATTTAAAATAATATTAAAACATACTTAAATTATAATTTTTAAAGTAAAAAAATCTAAAAAAAATCTGTAAAATATATACTTCTATTATTTATAAAAAAAAAACACTTAAAGGATATTAAAATCTTGACATTATAGTCCAAACACGGTACCATTGTCCAACTGTGCGGCGATTAGTCTAGCCTTTAAAGTCTCTACTTTGATCATCGTCTGGCTGAAGTCCCCCTTTTCCCCACCATTTTCCCCCCATATATATATTTTTCACTCTCATTCCTTGCTGCCTGCGACATTTGATCAGCAGAGGCTTTTCTTGTTTTCTTGTTTGGTTAAACGCTCCTACAAGAAGTACAAGACGAAAACCATTTGCGCCGACGCGACGCGTTCTGCTGGCTGGGATCTTCGTATCTTTGTATCTTTGGTTCTGCAGAGCTTTGGCTTTGCTTTGGTGGAAACCCGTTCCCAAGACTAAAAAACCTGCTCTGGCTATTTTTAGAGTCAATTAGCTTTGGACCAACGAAGACAACGATGCAGATGCAGATGCAGAGGCCTGGGTTGCATCTTTGGGATGCGTTTTCACCCATTCTGGGTTAATAATTCATTAGAAATGCAACAACGCCGCCCACGAGGCCAGCGAACAAATCTCGGGCTACTAATGTTTATTCTATGCAAATGACCACCATTTAAATGTAGTTAAATGGGTCAAACTCTGGTCTGTCTGGTTGGGAGAAAACTTTTGACTAGAAGGAAAAGTTATCTGGGATATATGGCAGAAGATCAAGATTTAGTGACCACGATCGAAGGGCAGGCAGAACAAGTTCTTGGTCAAACAAGAAGGGTTTTAACCAAAGTACAAGTACAAGAAGGTAACTAATAAAAAAGTAAACGATAAAGGAAGTATGGGTTGGAGGGTAATGATAGGGGAATACCCTTGGAAAGGTGTTTTTATATAATTTTATAATTTGTTTAAAATATCAAAAACCTTTTTTTAAGACTATAAAAATACCTAAATGAATTAAGAAATATTTGGGATTTTAAGATACATTTTTGTTTATCCTATAAATAATTAAATTAAAGGCTTTGTAACTATTTTCATATTAATTATATTTTTTTTACAAGTTAATACTACTAGGAATTTTCCAAAATTTTCTATTCTCAATCCTTTAGTTTCATATTATTTCTATGTTTTTTTTTACAAGTTAATCCTAATTTAAGCAACACCCTTTTCCTTAGTAAGAGCATTTAAAGCTAAAATCAAAGATCGAAAGGACATTGACTTGACTCCGTGGATCGATCTCTCTTAAGCGATCTCTGCTCAGTTTTTTAATGTTTTTTTATTTGCTTTTTTATTTCTGCAGCCGGCAAATTGATTTCGGTACAAACACGTTTCTTCCAAACCCAAAAAAAAAAAGAAAACCCATTTGGGTTCTTTGGATTTTTATAGCTTTTCTGGGAGTTGCTTAATTGTTTTTGCTCTCTTTAATTTTGTTGTTTTAATTTTTTTTTGCTGATTTCTTAGCCCCAAAAATATTTGCTCGAGTTTTGGTTTCAGCCTGGGCTGACCAAGATTATGCAATGGCACTTTTTTCTCTCCCCATTTGTTGTTATCGCACACACAATTGGCTGTCGAATTAACACCTTGCTCACATCCATCGACAGGTGGGGGCGACAGCGTCGACGAATGGGCGTGGCAGCCAAAAATCATTACTCTAAACGGTGGCAACTTTCACTCAACAATCGTGCGGAATACGAAAAAAAAAGAGTTTTTAACAAAAACAACAAGCACAAAATGCAAATGTAGGTGACAAAAAAACAACAACAAAAACAGTAGTGGGAGCTGTCAATCAGGCGATCTTCGTCATCCGAGAAATTACCACACTTTATCCCAATGTTTTTTTGGGCTGTAATATTTGTGTCATATTTTTTATGTAGTCAAGGTCACCAGTTTTTTTTTGTTGGCGAAATTTGCCAAAGAAAAGTATTATTTGTTTTTTTTTTTAAGTGTGAGAAATTTTGATCCAAGGTTATAAGGGGAAGTAATATTTTAAAATGTGCCAGAGGTTGGTTTTTTTAGGGTAAACTAAGTGATTTTCAAAGTATTCGATTTTTTATTTATAAAAAATAAATTACCAAGCATTTTAAAATTATTTAAATTAGTTGTTAGTGGATTTTCACATTTAAAATTTTAGACACAAAAATTTTCATAAAATCCTTTTTTTTGTAGATTTTTTTTACTAAAAAATAGTAATTTTTTTAAATAATTTCGATTTTTTAATGTATTTAAAATATATATCAAGCCCTACCGCCTAGGTGGCGCTATACCACATTCATTTAGCAAAGTTTCTTAGCATCATCCATTTCTTTAACCAGGTGGCGAGCTTTGCTGGGTTTCTATAGCAAAGTTTTTAACCACAACCGGCTTGCTCTTGTCTGTGTGACCAGCTGCCGCAGAGAATAAAATACTCTCTAATTTGAAAGAATTTTTATGAAATGTTTAAATAAAATCAAGATTAATTTTCAAAATAAATCATTAGTAAATATAATTTATAGCGTTGCTCTATTTTTTACACATACATTACTTCTGGAATTCGCTAGATTAACATTAAAATCTAGCTATATTTATAGCTATAAATTAGCCCGAAAAGCTAAGCCGGCATCCCTGACCGAAGCATTGGTCACACTGTTTTTTGTTTTTCCTTTTTTACTCTGCGGGTCGCCGTTTATAAAGTTTATTGCAAAATTACACAAGAATCGGTCGCGGAAAATCAACGAAAACATGTGCAACGCGTGCTAGAGGCGTGCCGCGTAGCCAATGTGCTGTGGAAACGGTTAAACGGCAGGTGCGTAAGCCAGAAAGCACGCGGTTCGCGTCACTTGCAACAACAACAAACACAGGCGCTCGGTGCAACACACAAACACAGGCGGACACAAGCAAACACACAAACATACACCCACGAGAGCGCGCACGCACACACATGCAAGCAGCGACGCACATGTGAGCAAAGCAACACAAAAAAATAAACGAAAATTAAATAAAACCAACAAAATAAGAGCAAACAAGGAAGAAAAGTGTTGAAAATAAAAACAACATAAATTCTTGTGCAAGTTTCACAAAAAAAAAATTAAATAAAGTGAATGGAAAATTCAACAAGAGCTGTGAAGAACTATTTAAATCATTTCTCTAAATTAACAATAAAAAGGCCTCCTTTTATCAACAATATTTCAATAATGTTAATAAATGCCCCCCAAAATATAAGCCAAATATATCAAGTATAACAAATGCAATTGGAAAATCATATTTATAAATAAATAATTAACTAAATTATATAGAAAAACTTCAATTTATACATCAGCATTGTTATCCCAAAATTTTTCTTGTATTTTTCGCCTTTGTTTGATTTTTATGCATTATTTCCTGGTTACCCAATTGCTTACCTAGCAACCCCCCTTACCTCAGGTCCCCCCTCTGTCTAGTTGCTAGAAAAACAGCTGCTGATTAAGAAATTTCGCCGTTTTCCCCCTATTTTTATCAGCTGATATATACCGCCCACTTAGCCAGCCCCCTTCTTGCACCTGGAAAAGACACACAAACACACACACACAGGTGACTAATGCACTGTTCGCGCAGTTTGTCAGCTGCTGACGTCGTGGACAAAACAACAATAACGGCAACAACGACGGCAGCGGCGTCCACAACAACAATAGCGTCGTTCTATAAGGCAGCGACGTCGGCGTCAGCAGCGGCTTCTGTCTGCACAACGCCAACAACAACACCGCGAAAATCGAAAATAAAAACAAAAGCTATGGCCACTACAACAACAACAACAACAACAACAACGCAGCAACAGCAGCAGGGAGCAGCAACAAATGCTAAAGATGGTAAGTCCAACCAAAAAAATTGTAAAAATCTAGAAGTAAAATATAGTTAAAGGTGACACAGAAAAAAGGGTGGAAAACACTTCAAGTTTTACTGGGTTAAAGTTCAAGGTGAAGTTTCTGCTGAAAAATATTTTAAAAATTACCTATGGCCATTTTATTTATTTTACAAATATATTAAGCAATTTTTAAAGAAATATATATACAGGGAAAATTATAAATACATTTATTAAAAATTATATTTTGATTTAGTTAATGATTTTACCAATAATTATTCAATCAGATTTAGATTTAAATTGAGGAAGGTTTTATTTAACAAACGTATATTTAAATAAAATAAAATATATAAAGCCATAAAGAGAGCTTTAAAAGTTGAAAGGAAAGTTCGGAAGACACGATTTCTTTTCTAAAATATATTTATCATCACTTTCGAATGCCAAAAAAGCTTTAAACTTACCATTACTTAACTTCTTCTCAGTAGTTAAAGATATAGACAGTAAATTGTCCAAAAATATAGCCATAAAATACCTTTATAAGTGACCTACAAATGGGGGGACAAAAGATATATATATATATAAAGTGCATACTATATGCAAACCCAACTGGGTTAAAGTTCAAGGCAAACCTAGAGTTTAAGAGGCGAAGTGAATGACAAACGTAAATGCAGCTTAAGAAACTTTAGTTAATAGTTGAACTAAAATAAAGTCTAAACATTTAATTAAGTTTACTTAATTTAGAAATGTTCAAGATCTTCTATATTTACTTTTTTCAAGACAACAAAACCCCCTGCTTTCCTTGAACACAAAACAACTAAATACAATTTAAGACGACTTAGACTGGAATTATCATTTAATCTCCAACAAATAAACTTATAATTAATGTTTGAGAGGCCTTCGCTGGCGATTTGCTCAAACTAAAATTTCATAATTTCATAATTTCCTTGTTTAACTTAAGTTTTACAAAGTCTTTCACATTTGTTTGTTTCTTGGCCTGTAATCCTAATCCATCAAGGCTTAATCTTTTGTTTTGTTCTGAATTCTCCGCCAACGCCACATGCCCCTTCTCTTTCTACTCTTTCTACGGGCCCATTGTCTTTCTCTTTCGCTTACCCTTCTGCCCCTCTGACGTAACTTGTTGAGCAACGACTGCTGGCGGATGGATTTGTTTCTGGCTTTTGGTGAAAGAAAAGTTTTTATTAATATCAATAACCAAAAAAGAGCGAAGCGTCGAGGGCAACAAATAAGGCAAGAAATTAATGAATGCCGCGGGCGAATAAAATTCAACAACAAAAAAGAGAAGCATAAAAGCAACAACAAAAGCAACAAACCATAACCAGCTTAACAACAATAATTAAGAAGTGCCGGACTGCAAAAAAAAAAGTGTAAAAAATTACATATACATTTAATTGCCAAGGCGGATAATGGTAGCATGAATAAAAAAAAAATGGGAGAAGTGGTGCAGGGGGCCAGCAGCTGGGAAGGTCAGCTAGAGGCCTGAAGGTCATAAGCATTTCGACGTTGTCGTCACCTCTGAACCCGCTCGAATTTATTGATTTTACACGCAGCAGCCACAAAAAAAGAGAGGAATAATCACAAAAAAAAGAAAGAAAAAAACAACAGCTACAACATCAGGCATAATTCTCTTTCCCTGCTGAGTACACTTTACCTTTACAGTGGGCCCTCAAATTGAAGAATAACTATGTTATAAATAATATATTTTCTTGAATACTTATCAGAGTAATATTAATGTTGATAAAAATAAAATTAAGAATAAAGAAAGCCTCTTAGAACAATTTATCCACGCTTTGAACATATAATTCCCAATGAGTTTTAGCAGAACATATGTTTTAAAATCTTAATTTTTCGATAGAAATAAACTAAACTAGTTTCCTATTCAATACTTTTTTTGTACTTATAAAATTCTAATTCCATTTAAAATCCCTTTTCACCAGCATTCACTGTACCTTTTATTCATATTTGTATGGGCCAAACATCCACACAAATCCAGTGACTTGTGCGGCTTTTGCTTTTGCTCTCCGAGTTCAGTTTCAGTGTGTGGCTTATGCCAAAGGCCAAATGGAAAAACCTGCTTTAAAAGCCAGCCAAAGAAGCACACCAAAAACCCAACGCACAGCTACAACTACAACTATATATAAAATCCCCTCCATGGTCACAGTTAGATGCTAAAATCGTGTGTTGTTTTCTTATATGTATATATATTTGCACATATATATTTGCAAGAAAGCTTGGTTAGTTTGATCAACTGTAGCAAAGCTAGAGAAACAAATCAAAATCTTCTAATTAAATCAGAGCTAACGGTTGCCGGTTAACGGGTTTCGTCGATAAAATTTGCCAACATTGGTTTACGTTTGCTTGTTTTTGGCATAGATAACATTGCTGAAATGCCAATTAACCTGGCAGCTCTGTTTCTCTTTTTTATCCCAACATTCCTATTTAGAAGTAATTTTTGGTGTTTTTCTTATCAACTAAAAAAAAAAACACACAAAACAAGGAATGTTTGATAAGCAGACACAGCGGTTAAAATGATTCATGTGAGTGAAATATTATGGAAAGTACAAATGGACTTTGAATTTTCTAAACACAAATCAATAAATATACAGGGCAAGGCAGTTTATAAAAATAAAACAAATTAAATCTTGTAACAAGAATGATTATTTTTATAAGCTTGAGAAAAGGAGTCTTGTTTTATTTTTATTACAATTAATACATAAAAGTACGATTTCAGTCAAAGCCCGTGCAAAGTATGGAGGTCTGAATCACTTGGAAAAATAAGTACTGATGAGATTTTTTTACCTAAAAACTAAAAAACGAATATTAAAAGATATCTGTGGGTTTTTAGATTACATATAAAATACATATGTTAGTTTATTTCTTTTTCTAAGATTATTTCCTTATCCAAATCGATGCCCACACATTTTCTTCCCCTTTTTTAACCGGAATTAATCTCATTTAATTGTCACAAATGTTTATCAGCTCCACTCTCCTCTCGTATCTCGTTAGTATTTGCATTGCATTTAGTTGTTTATTCTTTTATTCCTTTTATCAGTTGTGATTTCGCTGCTTATCGCAGCAACTGCAACTTTACCCAGGGCAAATACAAAATATATATATAAACAAACAGCAGGGAAAAAAGTGTGCAAGTATATTTTTTATTTTTCTAGCCCAGTTGCTCTGCCATTTTCAATTAGTGCCCGGCAGCGTAGAGTCAATACACAAAATGCTCTATAATTTTTATTCTATTTCATTTGAGAACCCACAACCCAAACCCAAACCCCAATCGACGCTGATAATTTTTTTCAAATATTTAAAGATCATAAGGCAGCAAAGACAAACACACATGTTGGCCTTTTATTTGTCGTTGGATAAATGCGAAACAAATTTTTGCAATTAGTGGATCGCTAATAAAACATATAGTGGCTGCAAAAAACAAACTCAAACAGGGCAGCCGTCTGCCTATTGACATATCGGTGGCATTCAGACTGAATTCCCACAGCTGCTGCTGCTGATGCTCGCTTCATGTGCTTTTGGATGCGGCTTCATTTTCTGAATGCATTTTCCACCGGCTGGACGGACGTACGGACGGGCGTCATTTTTCAATTGCCCAACCAACCCGGCCCCCTGGTTTTGCCCTAGCATTTTCCCAGCCACGCCTGGAGTGGCAGTTTGTCGGCCAGGTGTCGGTCTGCTCATCGCGTTTCCTGTTTCCCTAGTAAGCACTCGGAAAAATATTTAAGAGAAACCAAATTTCAAGTTGGAAAATTAATAAAAAAAGTGAGAGTTCATTCTAGGGTTCATAAAATAGTTTATAACATTAAAAATTCAGCAGGAAATCAAGTAGGAACTTTGTTAAAATTCGTAGGAAGCTTAAAAATATTTTTAAAAATTGTTTAAAATTAGTTTAATATTTATTTTCACATAAAATTTATTTTGTAATATTAAAAATCAGCAAGAAATCAAGTATAAACTTTGTTTAAATTCTTAAAAAGCTTATATATATTTTTAAAAATTATTAAAAGTTGGTTTAACGTTTAATTTTCACATAAAATTGATTTTTTAATATTAAAAGTCAACAAGTATGCACTTAATTTAAATTGGAAGCGTATATATATATTTTTAAATTGTTTAAAATTAGTTTTCCATATTATTGTCACATAAAAAGTAAACCATTATAAAATTCAAACATTTACCTCTTCAATAAATGAATATTATTATTATAATTATATTTTCTCAGACGAATATATTTATTTAGTTTCCTCTATAATTTTCTAATTATATTACTTATATTTTTCGCTTTACTAATTTTTCCCTGTGCATCAACTTAACCCCATCTCAGCTGAAAAAAAAAACCTAACTCGGTCGGGCTCAGTTCGCAGTTGGCTCTCGGGGATTGCAATTTGATTTGTGGGCGAGTCCGTCGCGGTGTGAAGTAGTCTTTGGCTAAATTGCTGTGAGACTTTTCGCCAGACTTATGAATGAGTTTATTGTGCATTCTAACAACTTAACTGGGTCTTCAGAGGCTGCAACTGCCACAGCCTGCTTCGGGGGGTTATATTTCACATTTAATTGTGGCAACTTGACGGTGGTGTCACAAAGTTAACTCCAGGCTCAAGAGCACTTTGCAATTGGAATGGAATTTTTAAAAGTGCATAGTTGCTAGATTACAGCTGTGTGTGTGATTTATTAAACAAATTAGTTTAGATAAAATGACAAACGATGGTTGAATTGCTGACCTCAAGTGCATTTTTATGATAAAATAAACAAAGTAGATAAAAGTGGCACTTATACAAGGGATTTTATATCAATAGTTCACATTTAAAAACGTATTTTTTGTCAAGAGGGTTCACTTGCAGGTATTTATTTAATTTTAATATATTTTTTTGTGGCTAAAATTATTTAAGTTTAATGTAAAAATATACATTTTAGCTGAAGTAAGTCTTTTTAAATGGTTTTCCTTTCATTTTAAACCCCTTATAATACTCTACG